CTGCAAACTTACTGAGGGCACACTTAATCCCCTCATCCAGACTGTTGATAAAGACTGGCCCCAAAACAGAGCCCTGGGGAACACCACTTGTGACCAGTCACCAACTGGATTTAACTCTGTTCACCACAAATCTGTGGGCTCGGCTATCCAGCCAGTTTTTTATTCAGCGAAGAGTACACCTGCCTAGGCCATGAGCCACCAGCTTCCTTAGGAGAATGCTGTGGGAGACAGTGTCAAAGGCTTTACTGAAGTGCAGGTAGATGACATCCACAGCACTTCCCTCATCCACTGTGTGGGTCACCAGGTCATAGAAGGAGATCAGGTTGGTCAAGCAGGACCTGCCTTTCATGAACCCATGCTGGCTGGGCCTGATCCTCTGGTTGACCTGCACATGCCTGTTGAGCGTACTCAAGAAGAACTGCTCCATAACCTTCCCCCGCACCGAGGTCAGGCTGACAGGCCTGTAGTTCCCTGGATCCTCCTTCCAGCCCTTCTTGTAGATTGGCATCACACTGGCAAGCCTCCAGTCATCTGGGACCTCCCCTGTTAATCAGGACTAATGATAGATGATGAAAATGTGAGGGAACAGAAATTTGCTGTGTAGATTTTGTGATTTCATCTCATACCTCCACCCTGACCTTAGTGAGGAGATTTTGGAAGATTCTACCCAGTAATTTAAGATGGCTTTTCCAAGAGACACTTCAACAGAACTAAGAACAAGTTATTTTGTCAGTTTATTATTGAACCCAGACAAACCTGACCTTATAAGAGGTTCCTTAGCAACTAGGTATTAGTGTGTACTCTGTGAGTTTCATGTGGGTGTGAGTCAATCCTATAGTATGTATAAAGGGAATTAGAAACAGGGAGTTTATTTTAATTAAAACTTCAAGGGTTTTTTTTTTAGCAGTGGCAAGAGAGAAACCTATAATGGTAGAGCATAAGACAAGGAAACTAAAGAATGTATGGTTCCCAACTGGGCAAGTTACTCTTCTACAATATCCACATCTGTAAGTAGTTACCATACATGAGCATTATACATTTCACATGTGTTCTAGGACTCAATTAATTTAATTCTTGTAAACCAGTTGCAGATTTTCAGATGGAAGGACTCAGTGACTATAGAGTATTAATATTAAAAATTGATTTTTTCCCCTGTTTTTGTTTTTGGAAATTCTTTTGCTGTTGAACTTTGTTTCAGGTTAGCCAACCTGAAAGGCCATCTGGCCTTTCCGCAATGTCATATGTTGTTTCTGGGTTGCATGTCCTGCTAATCTTTTATGAATCAGCACAATCAGGAAACCCAGTCAGCACAATCTTTTGAATTATCATGTAAGAATCAGGAAAAATATCAAGATCTCAGTTAGTTAATCTTGTTAGAAGTTTTGCTGAAGGAATAAAGTAGACAGAAGTCAAAAGAACCCTCTCAGCACCGGGGGAAGGCTTATTTGTATTTTACAGCAGTTCCATTATTACACTGTTATTTTCCCTCCCACCTCCCAATTTAGCTTCATGTGCTTTGTGCACAGAGTTTTGCTTCAACCTTTGGTCCTAAAGATTTAAGTTCAATAACTTTTTTTCAATGGAGACCTAATCTTAGAAACCAAGGATGAGCTAGTTCTTTTTACAAGACTGGTTTCTCTGAGTGGACAGAAAATAGTAACCCATTCAGTTGCACAGAAGATCCCAAGAATCATGGGCAACCAGCTGTATGTAGCCCTGCTTGAGGGGCCTTGGGCAAGGTGATCTTGAGCGTTGCCTTCCAACCTCAACCATTCTGTGATTCTGTGGTCGGTCCTGAGCTTTGCAAAGAATCATATAGTTAAGCAGAGTCTCCTACCACGGGATTCAGACTTTGACCAGTACCAGACGTTTCACCTCCACCTTCAAGCACTGATGGTGATGACTTGAAGTGTGAGAAGCCATCTTTCAGAGACGAGGGGCAGTGGGGGGGAAAGTGATACATTCCAGGTTATTTTCTGTGCTGTTGTGTGAACCATTTCCAGCAGGCAAATCCTTTTAGCTTGTCACACAGCCATTCACAGAGCCAGCACTCAACTCTACCAATGCCAGTTCTAAGTAGCATTGGCTAATAATCATCACTAATGCAGCTGACAGTGGTTCCTCCACTGCTGTTAGTGCTAGCAGTGGTCCTTGCCGCTCCTCCCCCCAGAAGGCTTTGCAGGCTTCTCCTGTGATTAATTCATATAATTATATAGTATCTTGTCAAGCTAATTTCTGAATTCTCAAAAGCTTGAAACTATTTGAGAAGATTAGAATAATGTATAGATAAATGAAACAGCTGTAGGTGAATGGTGACAGTACATAAAATAGGCCTGTTATGTTGCTTGGATAGAGGGGAAGTTACATAAATATTTTCTCTTCATTGCAGCACTTTGCACTGTCCTGGTAAAAGCACTCTCATGCTGCAGTTCCTCTGAAGCAGTGTTTCAAAAGCTAATTGTGCAGCACCTGATGTTTGGAGTGAAGTATACTGGTAACTTTCAATTTGTTTACATTCCGTATTTTCAGCCTTCCCTTGGAGTGAAGAAGCCGACTAAAGCCCTGCTGTATGTCATAATGAGCCCTGTGGGCCCTTACTTTGCAAGTGGAAGTTTTAATCCAATATCCTTATGGGCAGATCCAAAATATGTAAGAGCCTGGAAAGGAGGAACGGGAGACTGCAAACTGGGAGGGTAAGAAAACATAATTCTGCATCTTCTACATAGCTCACAAAGGAGATTTGTTTTTTAGTGAAGTATCTAATCCAGCAGAAGTAGAGATATTAAGTGTAGCAGTTAAACAAACAATGTACTATAACAAAGATTTCAATATTGTGCTTTGCAAATATTATTTATACAACTCAGTTGTGTATATTTGTTTGAACATTACAGCCAAGTGGATTATTTGCAGAGGCAATTTTGCAGCATCTTATGCTGAGGAACTGGACCTGGAAGGTGTCCATGTAATACTTTGGCTGTTCCCCTTGCAGAAGTTGACGCTAAAGATATCACTTCTGTGATGCAGCATTCAGTATAGCAGTCTGCTGCCAACTGGGCAGTGAGCAGCATTGACTGCTGACCTCCTTCCTTGGCAGACTGTCCTGACAAGCCATCTGCAGTTAGCTGGGGGAGTATGGGTGTTTAAAGGGAAAGCATGAGACAATTATCTGCATTGACTTGACCATAGTCTGGCAGTTTTCTGCTGAACTAGGCCAAAGCACTAGTTAGGTAGAAACATAATTGTTAATGTCCAAGTACTTGATTTGTAGAGTGAAGCTGCTTAGGACTTGAATGGAGCAAGCAACTTGGATGTGGCTAAATGAATGACTCGATTATACATCCTTGGTCTTTGGTTTAAACGAAGCTTATTGTCTCTACCTGGGAGTTTCTTTTCTAGGCAGGAAGTTAGTAGTTGTCAAGTGCTGCTCAAATGAGCTAGTAGAATAATCAAAGGGCAAGAAAAGAGCTTTTCTTCATTCAGTCTGATGTTCTGAGACCTTTACCCTTTGTGAGTTTTTGCTTAGTTATGTTAACTGTTTCCTGTGCATCCTTCATACATCAGCTGTGAAAAAAGGAATAGTCTGGAGTCACTACTGACTTGATTTGTGCCCAGAGGTGAGAACTTAACTCCAGTGTGGTCAGCACTTGATGTCTTGATGGTTGTTGAACATAGAATCATAGAATCGTTTAGGTTGGAAAAGACCTTTAAGATCATCCAGTCCAACCATTAACCTACACTAACAAGTCCACACTAAACCAATCAAGGGTAGACTAGACTAAACCATATCCCGAAGTGCCACGTCTACCCGTTTTTTGAACACTTCCAGGGATGGGGACTCCACCACCTCTCTGGGCAGCCTGTTCCAATGCTTGACTACCCTTTCCGTGAAGAAATTTCTCCTAATATCCAATCTAAACCTCCCCTGATGCAACTTGAGCCCATTTCCTCTTGTCCTATCGCTAACTTCATGGGAGAAGAGATCACCACCCACCTCACTACAACCTCCTTTCACGTAGTTGTAGAGAGCGATAAGGTCTCCCCTCAGCCTCCTCTTCTCTAGGCTAAACAACCCCAGTTCCCTCAGCCGCTCCTCATAAGGCCTGTGCTCCAGACCCTTCACCAGCCTTGTTGCCCTTCTCTGGACACGCTCCAGCACCTCAATGTCTTTCTTGTATTGAGGGGCCCAAAACTGGACACAGTATTCCAGGTGCAGCCTCACCAGCGCTGAGTACAGGGGGACAATCACCTCCCTGCTCCTGCTGGCCACACTATTCCTGATACAAGCCAGGATGCTGTTGGCCGCCTTGGCCACCTGGGCACACTGCTGGCTCGTGTTCAGAAGTGAAAACATCAGAAGTGAAAGGGGTTTCCCCACTCCTCAAAGCAGCCTCAAAGTAAACACATATTATTCAGTCAGGTTCACTCTGTAGGCAGCATTTTAGGAAAACAGTTGCTCCTCAAGAAAGCTACTAGTTCTGTGAATGTCATTTACTAGAAAAGAAATAACTTGCCTCTGGTGATTTTTGTGTTCCAAGAGGTTCATCTGACATATATGAGGTGAGGTAGATGGTTTTGGTTTGCCTTTTTCTCAAACCATGAGCTGGATGGGAATTGTTGCTCTCCCCATGATGCCAACTGCTAAATAAAGATAAATGCTTTCCTAAGGTCTCTAATTGCAATGATTAGAATGTCCAGAAAATGGAACAAGAGGTATTTTTAAGACAATTTGGATGGATATGTTTGAGCTGTTGATGCTGTTCAGCCCTTCAATGTTTTTGGGTTGTAGATACAAATGATCTAGTAAAATACTAGTAGAGTACTTCCAATGAAACTATTCCAGGGACAAGCAGTGACTGTGCAGAGTACTTGCTTATAAGGTAGATGTGCACAAAACCTTGCATAGAAATGAGAAAATACACGACCAGATACTCATAACTATTTGGTCTTTCTTTTTGTCTCTGGAAGGAATTATGGTTCTTCTATTTATGCCCAGCAAGAAGCCCTAGAGTTAGGCTGCCAGCAGGTTTTGTGGCTCTATGGAGAAGATCACCAAATAACTGAAGTTGGAACAATGAATCTGTTTCTCTACTGGATAAATGAAGATGGAGGTATAGTAACACAAAACATGAAAACTTCAACAGAGTAGACAGTTGGGACTGTAATCCAGAAAATAATTATTAGAGTGCAGATCATAAATTTTCTAATGAAGATAATTTAACAAAGGAGATAGCTGTTCTCTTCTGAAAACTGATAGGTGACTGTTACTTATAGCATTATGAAAGAGGAGATTCTGAAGCAGCTGTGAGTACTGCCTACTGGTAACATACTAAACTGTTGCACCAGTGCACATGCTCAGAAGGGTAGAGTCTAGCCATACACAAGGTCATGTTGCAGGTTTGGTGTCAACTCTAGCAGCATGCTTGATCTTGAAGGAGGTGTTGGGTCTTACCTACTAAAGACACCTTATGCTGTATAACTCTTTGTGGCTTTGGGCATGAGTGGTTCCCCATCATCACTTTCTGGCAAGTCAAATGTTCCTGAAGCATAGCCAGAAGTATTTCAGCATCCAACTGATGAAGAACTTGGCTCGCTCTTTGAAGAATTTGAAGTTCTGTCCAGTGGAGGCAGAGAGAGGTAAACATGTCAGTCAGTGTTCCACATCACTAATGCTCAAATAATGCTTTCAAGATATACCATCATTCTTGAAGCCATTTTTACCTCTTTGTACCCGCAGTCATCTCTGAGCAATGTACATGCTGATTAGAAAACTAGCTAGATAATGAGCAGCCAACTATTTAGGCATCTCAAAAACACCCATTGGGCATGCAAGTATTCAGTGCTTGAGAAGTGATAGCTGCACCTGAGAACTGGTTAGGAAGACTATATGTCTCTGAGTCCTCAAAGGATTGACCCAATGTATACACAAGTGAATAACAGAACACCTCCTGACTTCCATGAGTGCTGGCCCTCCATGAAAATTAAGTGTTACTGAATTTTTGCATGGCAGCAGATGCAGGGTTCAGACTCTGATTTCCTCATAGTGCCATGGGTACCCTTGAAAATTGACATTTTTCTGACAGTGCCGAGCTGCAGTACAGAGGCAACATTCTGTGGGGACAGCAGCGTGCTTTGGATAATGTAGGATAGCGGGGATCCAGCTACCAGACTGCCATCTCCAGTTTCATTACTTGTTCTTCTGCAAAATCTTTACCACTTTTGTAAGAAGAAGGATGATAGTCCCTCAGTGTTGAATGAGTCTGTGAGGTCTTGTGAATGAAGATATATAAATATGAGAAATCTTGTTGTTGCTGTTATAGCAGCAGTAGATTTGTCAGTGTAGCTAGATGGCCAAATTCACGCCTTGTGTAACTTCACTGGAGAGACATGAAAATAGGTTTTGGCTCATTCTGCCCAGGGAAAGGACACTGAAGGGGGGACATAATTAGAATTCAATGTTCTCATTGTACTTAAACCAGGAATATGCTGGAATTATCCAGCTGCAGCACCGTACTGTTCCAAAGATCTGCCAATCACTGTGTTACCAGTGCACTACTGAATAGTACTATTGTGAGGTGGCCATAGCAAACAACTTGTAATTCATGCCACCCAAGTTAACTGTATACTGGCAAACCTGCCATTTCACATGACATGGTCATCAGCATCATTGGAGCAGTTTGCTGTCTCCCAGTGTGTTGATTAATGCTTAATTTATGGTATCTTTGGTTGAGAATCACTCTTGCTGCCAGTGTGTGTCATCACATACCTGCCTATGGCTTTAAACTGTGATTTAAAAAGTGTTTGCCATTATGTTCTGTCACTTCACAAAGGATGCCTACTTAGGCTGTGGTTTTGTTTTGTTATGCAAATTCTACAGCTGAGAGAGGGATCTAACATAAAAATAGTGAGGCAGAAATTGCAGATCATCATCAAAAGGATAATGCCTTTCTTTTTGTGTTCAGAGGTCACTGCGGAGTAGTCTGAACTGCTCTCCTTGGTTTATAACAAATCAAAGACACAGCCCAGTAAAGCCTAGACTAAAGGACATCTATGATTCCAGTAAGAGTAGACTTTTCTTGCAAGCCTTTGCTATATATTTTCAGTTACAGCATTGTGACTAAACATGACATGTTGTCTTGGATAGCAGGAGGAGCCTGGAAAAATACTTCATTTGTAACATCAAGAAGGGAGTAGGGGGAGGAAATTACTCAATTTCTGGTAAAATAACATCACGTGCTCTGTGCTGCTCTTGTATGCCCACTGCTGCTCTGGCTGAGGCTTATAATATGACCAAATCTGGATCCCTGCTGTTGGCATAAATACAGGAGTATAATTTTTCATTCATCAAATACTGTTTATGGTTTATGTTCGCAAAGTGAAATTTTGGTCACCCTGCAGTCCTTTCCACCTGCCTCTTCAGAGCACGCAAGCATCCCAAGAAGCTGTTAATGTTGAAACTCGTTTCCTTTAATTATGTCTGTTCTTCTGCCTAGAATATAGGCTTGACTTTACGGAAAACCTTAAAATTTAAACATATGTCCAACCTGCAGGTTGCTAACTATGAAATCTGTGTGCATTTTCCAAAAATTCAGTTTCTTTAGAATGATTTGGAACCATCTGGGCTCTACTTCTAGCTTTAATGTTAAAGCATTGTGAATAGCATTCAGGTATGACTTAATATTTTTGTACTGTTATTAAAATGGGGATTAATAGTGCCCACTTCAAAATAGCTTACATAAATTAAAAAATAAATATGTTAAAAGATTCTCTGGAACAGTCAGGTAAAATATCAGACAAGTTTGCTTAGTGTTCTGTAGGTGGAGGATTATTTGTGCTCCAGAAGTATCTTGTACAAGTAGACTACTAACAAAATAAGGATCATACCTTCTGCTTTAATAGAAAGCCATAGCAATAGCATGGAGGGAAGAGCAGCAGATGAATGAAATGGCAGACAAAGAAAAGGAGGGGAAAGTAACTGAGGAAAGTAAATTGACAGAGGCACAAAGATAGAGTGATTTCATCAGGGGCGAGTAGAAGAGAAGCCGAGGGAAGCAAGGAGAAAGTAACAGAAAGGTCCAGAACAAACTGGGAGAGGAAGTCAGCTGTTAATAATAGTGAAATCGTGGTTTCCTAGGTTTTCCTTGACCCTGAAGATCACTTGGTCTCTGTTACCGTTTTGGTAGAATATATTTTGGTGAATTCCTCAGCATTGTTATAGTGTGACTAGTACTGAAGGCATCCCATGTTTGGAATCTTATCTGCTATATGTTCATAAATACAGGTGTGTAAAAATTAAGCTGTGCAATATGCAAGACCTCATTTTAAAAATCCCTTTAAACACTCTGGTGGAGTTCCATTGTTACAGCATGCCTATACCATTCCTGGTGTAATGGGGCACTGGACTGATAGTGCTATTGCTATAACAATAACAGTAGTCAGCTGAAGAGAAACCCTGACATTTTCCTTCAAATGCCTTTCCCCCCCTTTTTGCTACTATACATTTTAAGGCTTCTAGCCCATCAAAATAATTCAGAAGGCAAATGGAGTCTGTGAGCTCACAGTCTGGTTTTTTTGGAGATGGACAAACTGATGTCATATGGAGTCTGGTTTGGCATCAGTTCACAGAGAGGAAGAGCTTTTTGGCATGCTGTGTTGTATAGCGTTATCATCTCTGCCGGATACCAGGGGAGCAGATGTTCCTTGGGTGGCCCCAGGCTGGTAGGCATCATATGTATACTTGACAAAATTCTACAGAGCAGTCTGTTTGAAACATTTCGAGACTCCCATGTCCTGTCTGCTCAGTGCTGTTTGGCTGCTGGTTTGGCCTGGCACCTTTTCAAACTAGCTCAAATCAATTAATATATGTTGTTGAGCTTAAACAGGTCCTGGCCAAGATCTGTGGCAACATCATCACCAGACAGAGAACATTATCTGGTGTGTAGCCACAATCTTTGGTATTAAGGTCCATATTATTTGAAGGGTTTGGATAGAGAAAGGGGAGCACTTGTATATGACTGGGTCACAAATGCAGAACATCAGGTTTTCAGTGTTCAGAATCAGGTGATCCCTGTGGCTCATGGAAAGTTTTTAAGTCTTCTTTTGATATTTGTGCCAGAATTAGGACCAGACACACATCACAATTAGGAGTGATGCTAGACAGACTCCAAAAAAGGAAAGTTATTGTTCCTGACTGTATGAGAAAGAAGAGACCACTGCTATACTTAGGAGTCTGGGATAGGTGAGGGAATGGTACTATTGGTTAGTCAAACCAGAGCAGAATATATAGCCTGTTCTAGGGCAGCTTTTTTATGCATTTTGGCATGGCAGTTTACATCTATTGCTTATGTGTGTGTGTATCCTCATAAAAGGAACATGGAAGCATAGGTAGGAAAAACTTCTAGTCCAAATGAATAAATCCAGGGGTGGCTGCATTAGAAAATAAACAGACATTTCCCAAGAGAATGGACAGTGAGTAGCAGATTCAATGAACAATTCCATTTATTTATCCTCCATTTCCCCTATGCCACCCCAGCTCCCAAAGCCTCCTCTTGCAGAGCAGGAGAGAGCCCATGCTGTAGTCAGTCTGGAGCTGTGTATGCACTGGCTGGCAGGCAGTGTTTGTGCACAGAATTATCTAGCTGACTGTTGAAAGAGTATCAAGCCGCTGAGCTCAACCTGCTCTCTCAGTCCAAGGATGAATACCGTGTTTCTCTCTTCTACCCAGCAGCAAGTTTTCACAGGACCTATAGAAATATTTTTAAGACAGCTTCTCCTTGAGACTGGTTCAAACAGGCCTGGGTTCAGTGATCTTTTGCGGGTAAGGAGAAGGGGGCATAATAAAAAAAAGAAGATACATATCTTGTTCTTTTATGTGACCTAGGTAAAAATGAATCAAAACCCTTAATGGTTTGTGGATTTAATGAGCAGGTTCAAGAAAGATAATGGATTCTCATTGGGAAGAGAAAATGGTTAGAAAAAAAATACGAAGAATATTACTGAAAGACTGTGGATGTCTTCACTTCTCAGTGCAAATTTGAGACTGTCTTGAAAGAGCCTGGCTGTCTGAAAGAGTAAATGCTCAGTATTCTCTGATAATAGAAACCACTGAGTATGCTATGTGATGGTTTAAAATGAAAGTGATCGTTTAAAATTAAAAAGATTAACTGATTTGCTGCAAAGGTCAGATGGAAGAACAAAGACCACATACAAACTTCTGTGTTATAATTTAAGTATTTACCAAGTATGGATTACCATCTATCTATCATTTCATTACTTTTGTTAGATGAACAATTATCTAATGTCCTTTTTCAAAAGCAAACAAGAAAAACAAGCTAACAAACCAAACTAGCTGAACAATTTGAATTGTTGGTGCTTTTGGAATTTTATTAGGACAGCTCTTTTTGTGTAAAGAGAAAATTAGGGGGGAAAAAAGGATGTCTAGACTAAGACAAAAGATCATTAAGGAAGTCTCCTCTCAAGATGGATTTGGCAAACTTTCCACTGCTTTGCTTGTTCAGTAAATGAGCCTCAAAATTTCTGGTAGATGTTTCATATTAATGCTATGAAGTAGGTATACTGAACCCCATATTCCTAAATTAAGTAGAGCAGTTCAGGGAAAGTCATGATCTGCCCTGGATTAGGCATGGCTTTCCCTTGTGCCTCTCTATTCTGAATTTGAAGACTGAGCCATTCAATGGTTCCCAGTAGTTATACAGTGAATCCATAACACAGAGGAATAAAACCTACTGCTAGGTTTTAGCCATGCATTTATTAATGTATTAAATATGTTTCTTCCCCACCCACTGAAGTGTACTCAAAAGATTCCCTTCCAAACACTCAACATCAACTTACTGGAATTGAATTTGTGTAACTTGTGTTGTTATAGAGCTCTGATAAATGTTGCACATTAAGGGGTAGGGAATGTTTCTGATACCATTCGACTTCTTTTTAATTTTCATTGGTGTAATGTTTGGTGTAACATCAGTAAACATTATTTTTGTTTCTTTGTTTTTCAACCAGTGTTTCTATTTCTTTTGTGTTTGACAGAAGATGAACTGGCAACCCCGCCTTTAGATGGCATCATCCTTCCAGGAGTGACAAGACAAAGCATTTTGGATCTGGCACGCAATTGGGTGAGTGTTTTGACCTTGGCAGTAATGGTTTCAACTATCATGTTATAACATCAACAAAAGTACGCATTCCTGGTGCTCAGTATCTTGAAGTTCAAGTGATCCAGTCATATCCCTTAACCTAAATGGGAACAAAGGGCATACTAATTCATAGATTCCCAGCAACATCATCAGAATACCCACACCTGTCACACAGAACAATACCAAGCTTGTTAAAGTAGCTCCGCATAGTACTTAACATGAAAATTCTCATTAAATCCACTGGTACCAGCAACTTAAAGCAAGAAAACAAACAATTACCGTGCATGACCACAGCTATGCTTCAGTCATCAGCATGCTATTTCTCTGCTTAGTTCTTCTTGTTCCACTCTTATTTCTAATAACTAGCATGCAGCCGAAAGTCCAGCCACAGTCTTGAAGTCATCTGTCTGCTTCCAGATTCCAGTTCTGTAGTGTAGCCATCTAAGTACTTATTTGGACACTTGGGACTACCTCATATCTTGAAATGCAGCAAACTGTTCGCTCCGCCTGTACTGTATTAAAAGGTTCTATTGCAGCTTGGATAAGAATACTCTACTTGATGAGAGCCAAAGGCTCATCAAGCTCAGTATCCTGTCTCCTGGTTTTGGCCAGGCTTATGTCTAGGGAGGAGTAACAACACAGGCATGTGTGATACTTTCCCCCTGCTATGAACTCAGCTTCCAGCCACCTGTAGCTGAAAGACTTCCTGAAATACAGTTTGCAGTTATATCACTTAAATCTAACTTGCAGTGAAGGGAGTTAGGCATGTACTTCGTGGCTCATGTGTGCCACTTGTTGACCTGCACTGAACTCTTATGCATCTTTATTCATATTGGTACTCCCCTAGTTCAGATATGCATGCACAGTTCTCAGTCCCATCTCCTTTACAAGACAGACAGATATTTCCAGTTGATAGGGCTTGTTTGTGAGATACCAGACTCTCACGTCAGTCCTCTTGAATAATTAGGTGTCTTCTACTCTCACAAAGGTGGTTCTCTTTTTCCTGACCTCCGTACCCTAACCTATTTGAAATTCTGCTTACATGGTGTCCCTGCCTCTCTCTCCAAATACTGTCCTGTCCAGAGCTAATCATGTTTTCTGCTATCGTAAGCATCTCTGTTTCATGTTAAAAAGCTTGCATATAAAACAAGGGCTAAGCTTTAGTTTGGTCTGATAGGACAATAAAGCCCACATAAATCTATGAAACGAAAATTTCGAAGTTTGAGGTTTATTTTTGTTCTTTAAACATGTCCCCTCAGTCAGTTGCCATGCATTCTTCAAGGCTTGTAGAAGGTAAAACGCTTCCTGTGTTAGACTGTCCAATGTGAGTTGCTTTACTCATACCTGCAGAACTGTTAATTTTTGTGACAGCTGTGTGCAGGCTATAGTGTGAAATTTCACCAGGCGTTAAAGAAAGATGTCACATCTAGTTGGCATTGCAGATGGAATTAACAGAATATATTTTGCTTAGGAATTGTCTGAGAGCGGGATGCAAAGCTCTCTTGACATAATTGAGTAATTTTTGTACAAACTCTAGCATGCTAGAGACCATGAGTAGTCAGATCCCGTGTCACATAACCCATGACAAATTCTGCTGTGTTATTCCCTAATGCAATATTGATATTCTGTACCAAATCAGAGGGAAGTGCCACTTAATCATCAGCATTGTATCTGGCAAACCACTGGCTTACTTGAAGTTCATTCTTTTGATTAGAGTCTATCTTGTGTGATACTGGGAGGTTTGAAAAGATCACAGGATCACAGCCAAAACTTAACTGATTGCCACGAAGCTAATAGTTCTATTAGAGATGCTTCAACATGGAAAACAAAAATACAAACCATCTTTAAACTTTTTACAATTTTTATGGTTGATTCTTCTTGTGCAGGGAGAATTTAAAGTGTCTGAGCGATACATCACCATGAGTGACCTGACAGCTGCCTTGGAAGAGAACAGAGTAAAGGAGATGTTTGGTGCTGGAACAGCTTGTATTGTGTGTCCTATCTCTAAGATTTTATATAAGGGCAAGGTAAGAAAATGTCTCTTCCCCCCCCACACCTTTCCTTCTTTCTTCAGCATTTTATCATGATTAATTGCAGCTGAAGCAAAAAACAAGTGAGATAGAAAAAGAGTGCTGCCAGAGGCTCCTGGAAAGATGAACAGTGTCAGTATGTTGTTTCCCAAGTGAGTTACTGCTATGTTGTCAGAAGAGAACTTTCCCTCTCCTCTTCTGGGGTTTTTTAATAGTTAAAATAATAAAATCTCAATTCCTGGGAAAGGGGGAAAAAAAAAAAGTAGTTCCCAGCTCCCAGCCTGTTTGAAAATATAGAAAAATATTTCCATGTTTCTTTTATTGAATATTTTTTCCAAAATTAAGGCACCTGGGAAAGGTGAGGAAGAGGAAAGACTTTCACAAGGAACCAAATTTCTGAGCCACTGCATTCTTTCCTTCTCAAAGTCATCTGTTCTTCACCCCTCATGGCAGGGAACCCAGCTCTGATGGAAGAGGTGTTTCAGGAGGGTGCACAGCTGCTTCCACCTACTACACACCATATGGGAGATTTCTCCTGCACAGGTGGAATGCCACAGACATTCAGACTATTAAGCTGACTTGATGCTATTTAGCCAGCACAAAGTTAGTTCAGAAGCCTGGGTTATTGCAGCTGCAAATATGGATGTGCTTTGTTCCATTAAATATGACAAGTACAGTAAAAGTCTGTTAGGTGATACTTCTTGAATTAATAAAATGGAATAAATGTATTAATATTATCAGATGCTAAGATAATATGAGACATATCAAGGTGCTGAGTTATGAGTATTACAAATGTACCTGTTGTGTTTCTACACATACTTTGAAATTAAGTACTGTATATAGTGTTACTACTCTTGCCTGTACAATATACCCTTTGTTTTGGACAGATCTTTTGGAAGGCCTAGATTAGCCTTTGTTTAAAAACAGCATAACAGTTCAACTAATCTAACTTTTCACTGGCTCAGCACGCGCTCCTGTAAAAAACATTATAACAATCCTGGCCTACTTGTTAGGAGGGCTAGAAAGCTTGATAAATATTTATTAAAATTCTGGGTGACCCTAAGGTATTTACATGTATATAAAGCTATTATTACATGTTATTTTCTCCCCCCCACCTCCTTCTTTATTCAATCTCAGCATTTGCACATTCCAACTATGGAGAATGGACCTCAGTTAACAAGCCGTTTCCTGAATAAGCTGAGCGATATCCAGGTAAGATGCTTCCTCTTCTTTAACGAGATAAAATAATAAAAGGTGAACGTTTGAAAAGGATCTGTCTTTAATGTCTAAAAGCGCTTGTGTAACTCCTGTGTTACCTTCTGATGTCTGGGCGATGCTTTTGCAATATATGTTAGGGCCTTCAACAATTTGTGATCAGTTTGAATCTCCACTGATCACTTCTAATTGCAGTCCAGGAAAAGCTCAGCATCAGAAAGAGTTGAGACTAGTTCTAGCACCTTGTTGAGTGTTACGTGTGGGAATAGGTACTGCCTTAGCAGTTTGTGTCATGAGACAGACAAGTGCCTTCTCTAGAAGAACAGCTTGTGAAATCCAGAATTCTGTTTCAGAAGACAACACTGGAATATGTGTCTTTCTCCCTTGGCCAATAGATAGTGAGTAGATTATTAAGACAAATTTATCCAGCCTGCTCCCTGAGGCTTCCTCCCCTGCCCTCACCAATCACCCTGCTTTTCCACCCCCAACCAAGGCTCAGGAGGAGGCTGAAAAAGTGTGGATTGCTTCTAACCATTATCTTTCTTGGACCTTTTCACTTTACAACTATGCATATGGACCTTTTTGCCTTTCAACTATGTACATACCATGTGTTTGTTAGTTACATGCCAAGAGTAAATCCATCACTTCAGGAAAGTGCTGGACTGTTATGTACATGTTTACTTCTGGCGTTTCTTCCTTCTTTAAAAAAGCCAGCAGAGTTAGAACACTTCATTGTTAGAAACATGATTAAAATCAAGAGAATGGTGGCTGCTTCCCCTTTAAGAGTCAATCTGTTAAGAGTCAAACTGTTTCTGCACTTTTCTATCTGTGGAGAGATGAGGTCATATCCAAATAGACCCCAGGTTGTCATACAGAAAAAATGCTGCAACGCACAAAATGGAATATATAATATTCTTAAAATGTCAGGGTAGTTTTCAGGATCTTTCACAAAGATCTTTTATATATTCTATGGGGGGGAGGGGGGGAAGATCTCTTTGCAGTATCATTGACTGTTGTCGTATCATGTTGACGGTCTGAGGCTGTTATTCCAGAGAACGTTCAAGTTCTGAAGACTAAAATGCAATGGAAATTACAGCCAAACACAGCTTTGGTCTCTGTGCTGTGCTGTTGCCTGAACTAGGGCAATGTATCCATTTCATGTTAGACAATGGACATTTGTAAAAAAGTAAGAATTCTCAATACCAACATTGTCCTGCATTTGAACCTGTGACCAAGAGGTGCAGGGCTCCATATCCAATATCATTATACCGATTCCCTTGTGTACAATATATGCTTTTTTAACATTTTCAGTTTATCTTCATTATTGTGTTTCCAAGTCTGTTTTCATGCTGCTCATTGTTCTTTCGCAAGTGTTCTGTGTTCAACAGGATTTCTTTGGATTTGAACAGCTGTTCAGTGGAACTAGAGCTAGAGTGACAAATCAGAAACTCATGGGCAGAACTGATTCCATTTCTCATGCCAATTGAGAGAGACAGTAGTAGCACTGCGATATACATTTTCCTTCCTATCACTGAGTGGAAATCGTGATTACTAAAGGTTGATAAAGATTTTAGATTAAATCATTTACATTGTATACAGTAATGGTGTGCTTATGAATGAATTAGTCATAGTACACTGTCTTCTATAACTGCTTGAGTTAGAAGATTTAGAGATGAGATTCTTTTCTCTGGGAATACACTCGCTGAAATACTGCTCAGATGTTTTTGTGATTTTGCATTCCATGCTTTGAGAATAAACAAGCTTTTGCTATACCCTTTAAAGTGTAGATCAGGATGCAACCTGGAAGGGATAGAAAGAAGGTAAGATATATTGTTTATACTACGTGATATAAAATACATTTAAACACTGCAGTCAAGACAGCAGCGAACAGACATTTAGTCAAAACCCCCATCTTTCTCAAAGTTGCACAATCTAAATGGGTAGGCCAGCAGAAAACAACCAGGGAAGGAGAATGTATGTGTTAATTTTTACAAAGCAGGACCCATGGGGGAAGAGGGATGGGATTGACTAGCCTGAGGTCTCAAAGTCTTTGACAGAATCAGAAAAGGAAGCTAAATTTGCTTTTATTTCCAGAATGAAAACATCTAGATTGTAGTATAATATTTTCATTCCCCTTTTAATTCTGGAAGCAGGTTCAAACCATAGTCAAATGGCAACTCAGACCAGCCCTTGCAATTTTTGAAGTCAGCATCAGAGCATTAGATGACACTACTACATAAAGCCAGCAAAACTTACAAGTAATCCCCTGGCCTTTGCCTGCTTTCTGATTGGGGGAGGTGGGGGTCCCAGCTTTTCTCTGAGAAGCAGTGATATGAAGGTCGAAGACATCTCTTTTTTTCTCCCTTTGCCCCCATCCTCAACAAAATCACCTCACATGAGGGTCATCCAGTGCTTTGTGCTTAAACTAATGATACATCTGCTTTTCCTTGGCTAGGGTTCCTAAGGCAACCAGACTGACATCTGGGAATGTAAGCTGGAAATCCTTTGAACAAGTAATTCATCCAGGGTCCTGTGTAGCATCATACCAGTGTTTAGTCAACCACATCGCAGACTGCAGAACAGGAGCAGCAGAATTAGTAATGAAACGAAAAAGTAGATGTGATAGTATGGAGGTCATTTAGAAGCTTTACCTGCTGGAGTAAAGAGTAAAGCACAAGCACACTGAACATCATTCCTTTATGGATCTAGAATTGTGTTTTTCTGGCTCATCCTGATTTGGAGCTGTTGTCTTTTCCCTGTTTTAATGTCCCTTTTTTCTCCTTTCCTGCTGATGCAGAACCTGGATTGGAGGAACTTTTATCCTCTCTGGAGAAATCATGAAGTGATCTTTTCAGCTTAACATAAAGCCTCTAAAACCAGTCTTTATTCTTTGGCAAAATGTGTTTTCAAGCTCCCTGAACATGGTACTATGAGGGAAAGGAGTACACCTTACACCTTACACAAGTACAACTTACACCTGCCACTAGTCTGGCCACCTCTGCTTTACTTACATGCTTGAGCCCTATGTGCATTTTTGGGGCTCTCTGGAGCATTGTTTACAGGACTGGTGACAAAGAGCTTTAGAACATGGAGCCAGTTTAACAACCAAAAGTGCTGCCTTGGGACTGTATCCTCCCCTGGAAGGAATACAGCTCCATGCAGTAGGTTGCCTTCATGTCTGCCTGGTGGTCCTGTTGGTTTGCGTATGGAAAGACAACTTGTTTTATCTGGGTTACAATTCTCTCTAATTGTACTCTGTGGTATTTGTGATAGGTTTTATTTCACTTTCAATCAGAAAGCTGTAATAAAAAGCCGCCTTGAAAATAAAAAGAAATAAAAACAAATGTGTTTGTTTATTGGAGCTTGAGCAGGGGCATACTTATGAATGAATCGGTGAACTGACCTCAGGGAATAACTGTATTAAATTGAAGGAAAGCTCTAGTGAAGCAGGACTATTCTGTATCATCTCTAGTGAGTATCAGTATCTCCCCTTCCTAGTCTACTTATTGGAAGATGGATAAATCTTCAAGCTGCCTTTAGGCTTTGCTCAAATCAAAAACAGAAGGCATAAGAAATAATGTAAGCCACTCTCAGGGTGGTGGATATGAATCTTTCTGAGGATAGGCCTAAGAAGTTATCATGATTGTACACTGTTACTTGTAACTTTTATTCTTAAACTCCATTTTTTACTTCGTTTCAGTATGGAAGAGAAGACAGCGATTGGGCAGTGCTGGTGTCATGAAGGTGGAAGAGTTCAGACTCTCCTGACAGAACAGATATGAATAATGACAACTTCTGTAGCTGCCTGTGCGTAGCATAGTTTCTGTATCAGTTTGTTCCCCAGGATGATTGTTTCCACAATCCAGCAAATGTGAACACAATCACTATGATTTCTACTGTAATCCTATTGGTAGAAGCCTGTCTTCCTGGTAGAGGTGCTAAGTGTTAGCAATAGAACTTTCCTAATGGTTTTCTTAGTGCCTCCTTGTGTCTTATGTACAGTCTGAAAACTTGTAAAATGCTCTTCAACTGCTCTTCAGTTTGGTTTGTTTTAACTGCCATCATCAGCAGAGCATGTTGCCATCTAACACAAAGACATTGCCTGTTAGCTGGCCAAAGGGTTCTGTTGACTTTATTCTGCCTTTTGCTCTGTGTTCAGGAAAAAATTAAGTTTAGCCATATGCTCTTTCCTTTCATACTATGCTTGTATGGGAGATTCCTGCATTTGCATAGCCCTCTAGATTCCCTCATGCACACTCTGTCAAATACCAGCTCTGTCCTTTAGGCCAAAATTCCGAGTCCATCTAGCCTGCAATATGCTCCATGTTGGCCTATTGCCTTTCCCTGCATAAGGATATGCAGTGGCTGCTTAGGCAGTGCATAGCTCTCTAATAGTTGAAGACATCCTTCCAAACATGATTTACAGGGCTGGGTCAGGCCCTGTTGAGACAACAATTTGTCTGTCTGGCCTAGCACAGAGCTGGGCACTGTGGACGCAGTGTTGCCTTCCAGGTGAATGTCTAGAAAACAAGATTAGATAACTGTGGCTGTGAAAGTTGAAACACTCTTCACAGCAACCAAACCTTTGGATTGAGGAATTTCTTTCATCATCCAGTCACATAATTTACATCAGCAAAATGTTTTTCTTGTCCCCTTCACCACTCGCTGTGAAATGTATCCCGCTGCCATTGACACGCGTGTACTTTAATAGGGCCTTCCTATTAAGGAACAAGCTATGTTGTCAACAGAAAATATGTAGCACAAGAAGGAAAGAGATTTCATTCAAATCCTGGTTTCATTCTGATTAAGCGCATACTTCTTCATATACTGCTACACTCTCACATGTAGTCGATACTATTTGGAAGCAGTATAGAGCACGTAGTCCATAGTTAGGGAAATAACTTCTGCAAATGTTCACTAACAATCATACTGTAATATTTATTAGCTTTCCTTTTTTGCACACAGCTTTGTCAAACAGCTTTAAGATATCTCTTGCCAAAAAAGGGTCACCATATTCTGTATCGATGTTCCAAAGTGCTACTTCAGTGTAAAACTGGTGGAACTTTATTGACACTAATAGCGTTCTGTAAGAAGTAAAAGTGAAACATTTATTGCTGTAGTTTGCAGTAGAGATGCACCAGTATTAAGGGAAATATTTAGCACTTTATTTTTTTAAGACCCAACAGTATCTCTCCCATGCTTTATAAGTCCTTTGTAGTTACTGGCATTTGTTAACATAGTTTAAAAAGGCAAAATATAATTTCTAATAGACCATCCATGCCTTATGCAACTGCTAAAAAGTAGCCTTATGGTTTTCCTATTCATTTTTGGTCAGACTTTAAAGATGACACCTACTTAGCCATCACTTTCCTTTACTCCCTCAAGTCATGACTTTTACTATCTTTCACTGCAGTCCAGTCTGATCTCTTAATGAAGAACAGTTGAAGGTTCTCTCTGACAATATAACCATTGTTAAAATTTGTTGGATAGTTTTCTCTTTAGAATACAACTGCAGGCACAAAATATTGTTTCACTTACAGTAGCAATAGTCTTGTGTGTCTGCTTTTCTGACCATTTGAATCTGTATTGTGTGCTGGTCTTCGTTCAGTATCTTACTATGTATTATAAGCTGCTGGTAGTCTGTCTTTTTATTTCATTAGATGGGTGGAAAAATTAACATGGGGAATATGTCAAGATGCAACGTGGGGTAGAGAGTTTTATCCAATGAAACAAGTATCATAACTAAAGAGTGCCTTTAACTAGTGTGGCACAGAGCTCTCTAAAGATCATGTAATGAGCAACCACATGTGGCTTCCTGTTACTGAACTATCTAATCTGTCCCCTTATGTTCATCTTAGATGTCACAGCAAAAGAAAAAGTGGAAATATCTAATTTCAGATGCATGGCAAAGTGGTTGTATGATACCTTAACATCTCAGGCTGTTGATAGAGTTGGCAGGTATCATATAACAAAAATCCCCATGAAAGCATCAGTATACCAGCAGTAATCTATTCACTAGTCAGAATGAATAAGGACCAGTTAGAGGAATTATTTTACTGCACTGTAAACCTAAAAGTTCTGTAAAACTCTTCTTAAATTGGATGCAAGTAATTTAATGTGAGGAAACCAGGTGGTTTCATTTATTGTGGTTTGCACCATTTCCTGCGCTGACCAGAGAGACACCTTTCCTTTTACTACACATTTTGAGCTGATGGAGACTTCAAAATTATGAGTTGAAACTGGAATGACCCACAGAAATGCATAGACTTTTCTAGCAGAGAAGAATGAAAACATGTAGTGTATGTGTGTTAACTGTTGTCTTTAACATCTTGGTTAAGTGCTTTACTCTGGCTATGTCAACTCAAAGTTGTGCTTGTTTCCAAATGGGATCCAGGTGAATAGGTTCTGGATTTTAAACTTTAAAACCTAAATAAGGGAGCTGACGGGTCAGTATAATACAGGAGATTCTTCTGATGTTGCATGCTGTCCTACCCTGCATTCTGTCACTCCTTTTTATCCTGTTAACCAAAGGAAAGAAATAATATGTGTAAATAATAGTGAGTATTTGGTATTGCATTCTCCCTATTTTTGCCTGTAAAATTTAGGAGGGAACTGTGGTATTCCCTGAGCTAATAATAGATTGTAAAAGAACATCTGCACATCTTTTCTCCATGTGCCCTATTTGTTTAATTGCAACAGATTTACATAGAAAGAGTATGGTACATCATAACTAGGCAATTATCCATTCTTCATCACTTAGTTATGGTTCTGCTAATTGATCATTTAAGACATAAGATAGTCTAACATTAGGAGAATTTGAGACTGTTCAGAAAAGATCAACAAATTAATATTGTTGTGTGATATTTGCATAATTGGCTGCAATTATTTAATGTTTAATTGGGTTGATCAAATGAGATTCAGCCTTTCACATGCTTATGTTTTACAAACACTGGTACTTTAAAATGATAATAATGAACCCTAATTTTTGTATGTTCTTTCTCTCTCCTTCATTCTTTTGATTATTATTTTCAGTATTGAGCATGTCCTTAATTTTCTGTTTGGTGATCATGATTCATGCATAGGAAAGAAGTCCTTCAAATGAGAGAACTTTTCATGAAACTGGCATTTCATACAAGCTGTTCTGATGCCAAGAGTTATGGCTTCAGCAACTGGCATTACTTAACTAGATTCTTAACTGCAATGAGGGCAACTTCACTGAGAGTGACAGACTCTGGTGAGAATGCTAATAAAGGTTCCTGTTTAGGGTAGATAATCTGTTCAGTCTGTAGCAGTGCAAAGCAGACAAGATTTTTCTGGGATATAGAAGGGAAGTCTGATAACACAAAAGCAAGATAGTGAGAGAGATCTCTACCCAGCCGTTGTTTACACCTGCTCAACTATCTCAAGCCAAAAAGCAGTTGTCCTCCACTCCTCCTCTTTCTGGATAAACTCTTGTTTAGGGTTTACCTAATTCAACAGGGAGATATCATTGATCCTCTCCTGTATACTTATTTTATACTTATTTTTCCTGAGGCATGAAGAATGGTAATTTGGAAAAATGTGGTCTTTGGAAGAGTCATTTGGAGTGCAAGTTATTTGAAATGTCTGTCTAATACATGGTCTTCCAAGGAGGTAGGCAGAAAAACAGCTGGGACTGATCTCATACAACACAGCAGAGAGGCAACTGTCTCAAAAGTTCCTAGAGTGTGTGGAGGATAACTTTCTGACACAGCTGGTAAGTGGGCCTACCAGGCGAGGTCCTCGCTTGACCTGCTGTTTACTAACAGAGAAGGGCTTGTGGGAAATGTTGAGGTCGGAGGCCATCTCAGGCTTAGCAACCATGATATGATAAAGTTCTTGATTCTGGGTGATGCCAAG